CTAGGGATATCCAGTGACGAAGGATAATTGTCTTGTCACGTTTGTAATATATGTGGTGACGACGTCGCCGTGTCCAATAAAGTATGATCCATATAAATAACGAAAGGCTTGCACTACCCTTAACTTGACGAGGCATTCTGAATACCAAGTAATTCCTGTCATACACAAAATAGTTCTTCTCAGCTGCTTAGGACTGGAGAGAGTCAGCAGCGATCATGCTTTTACCCATCGAGAGTTTAGTTGGATAATGCCTATAGCAAATGTTAAAGTGGGTCAGAAGATCTGAAATCTTCGATATGAATTCGAGAGGGTCAGAATTGGCGCACGTATAAAGCTTTCGATCGCAGCCTCACAGACCAATTTTTTTATGAAATCATAATTCTACTAGCATTCTTTTCAAGGTGATCGGTTAAGGGCCGTTACCTGTCGGCACAATCTGAACAATTACTTTGCAGATAGTTAGCTAAGTGAAATTACGTCCCCCAGAGCTTGATCAGAGGCCCTAGTCCACGTGGCCTCTTTTTCTGGGGAATCTACAGGTTTTGTTTAGTGAAACAACCCGAAAAACGTATAACCAATCATGTTATTCTACAGCACATCCTTTCTATGACGCGGCGTTTGCACCGAAATAGTGGATGCATTATGCTTTTTGTCAGACAATTGTCGTTAGCCTTTTGGCACAGCAAGCCGGTAGCCAGTATATAATGTACGTACAACCGCTTCATGCTTCGCAAGAATGAAAATCGTAACTGAAGTCACACTATTCTCTTAATGAGGGTCATGGACGGTGTCGCAATACTTGGTTTGGGGGACCAAGTCAATTTCATTTTATTATGCGCTTCCCTATTCAGAGGCAACTAGCGTGGTGAAATCTCGCCACCTCGTCGTGGTCTTCCTTTACAAAGCTTGAGGAGAGCTATCGCACTACTCGCACTTAGTGATCTTTTAGGGTTGTCAACGACAAACTCATCCGTCTCAGACGAAGAGCTCAGCTCCTCCTACGATACCCTCAGTACCATTTCAATTACCTCACCTTCTTGAAGTTCTTGCAAACATTGCCGAGAAACATAAGAGCCTTTGCTGTCAGCATGGAGAGGCGACTTAGTCTCCTAGGACTACCCCGGTCAGTCGTGAAGCTTCACTGCTCGACACGGTGGGCACGTCACACGGTAGTGTTGACTAAGCAGAATCGTTATATCACGACAAAGATGAGTCACATCATATAATTTAAGAACTTGACTATAAACTTGTGACATTTCAGCTCAACTGAATTTGGTCAAGGAGACCGCGACATCCAGTCGCTTCATCGCTCCTCTGGTTTGACATTATAGACACCAGATTAAAGCTGTGATTTACCGTCCCTACTCTGGGGTTACGAAAAACTACCGTTCGTTCGTGCCTCAGCACAGATACACTAAAAAAACCGCGATAGTCTCATATTCTACTCGAAAATTACCTCAGCTTAACTCCCGTACCAAAATAACATCTATTTCCTGGCAGAAATGGGTTCATGGCTCGCCAAAGATCCACCGGAAGGGATGAGAATGATACTCAATAGTGGGCGGGTTTTGTCGCACAATTGCTAGAAAAGACCATACCTAAACTTTGATCTGGACAAAGCAACGTCTCACTCTCACACTGTCAAATCTTCAAATTTGAACAGCAAGTTCGGCATAATGTTTAGCATATTTGACAGTATACCATCGCAAGATGCACAGATATTGTATCCATTGTACGCAACCTAGATGCCTCCGCGTACTGTGTACTATATGATACATTCATGCGCTGTACTTGATTGCACATTTATGACTGATAACTCTGAGCTCTGAGACCACATAGCTTTGAAACCCTCGCTTTTTTCAAAGCATGATATAATTGACAAGGTACGTTAAAATCCAATTCTTTTCCGGTTGGTATAGGGCGACCAACTGGGACTCGTCATTTCCACCTAGAGTTCATCGAACGCCCGAATGAGAAAGCTTATCCTTTGTACCTCTCAGCGGAGGGCTATGGCGGTACACAAGGCACAAATGTTTTGTATGACTGCAGATGAAACATCTGCGGATATCACGGAGCTGTACAGCAGCTAAGATAGCCCGTTCCTTCTTCTCGGATGATTGAAGAATTGCCTTGGCGCGCTGGTAGTCTATAACGTTCAATACAGTAACCCCCCTATGCGGTACAGAAGCTGTACTCTGCATTGATGCGATACCTACCGCCTCCTCGAAACAAAATTGGTAAACGCGGAAGGTCTCTAATCGACACATATGTGTTTGGAGACGCACTATAAATATTACTTTCTCCAGGACTCAGTCTGACTCCATCGCGGCGATCATATCTTGCACCTCCAGAACTTAACTTGCATACTTTCACCTGCTTTGACGTTTGATCAAGATAATGCAACGCGCTCGATTTGCCTGATTATGTGGGATAAAAACCTGCGTCATATGACACTTCAAATACGTTCAGTGTTGAAAGCCTTTTTAAACTCCTGCTGAGGGCCTCCTGGAGGTGTCTCGTTGGCCTTTTCATAACTGGTGACCGAGCAGCAGTTGTTGCTTCTGGCATTTGGGCTACCAATTCCCGACCCTTTCGTGATAAGCAATCAACATAAGCCTTCCAACCGTGTCGAGTTGTCCTGTGAACGGGTGAATGATTATTACATATTCCATCCTCAAAAGTACTAATTTTACTTAGGAAAACCTAGGATTTTGAATATTGGCGGCTCTGCCGCGAATAAAACAATTAAATACAGTTTCAACTTTGTACAGAATTGTTCGTTTGTCTTGGTAAGGCTTTAGTACGTGGAGGTAGCGGATTGCGATCCGCTACACTCGTACTGGTTCTTGGAAAGAACGTAAGG